CTTAATTTTACGGGACGTATCTTCTTCCATACTGGTCTCCGCCTCGTTAGCTTCTGCTTCATCTGGGATTCATCTGCTTCATCAGGAAATGTCCTATCATCGGTAACAATCACATCAGTGGTAGTAACTTCATCAAGGGCTTCACTGTTTCCCTTCTCAAAACTGAGTAGTTTCTTCTTCAACAGTGGCTTTTTCAGGTGATACTTCTTCAGCGGCGTCATTTGTTCCTTTGTTCACTTCGTCCCAACTGAACTGTCCTGGACCGTGATAACGCCAAAGCCTGTTGGCATGCACCACTTTTGGCTTACCTCGCCGACCACTATTTATCCGGAAAGTCACGTCTGAGAGACGATCCACTATGTCATATGGGCCTTCCCATGGAGAAGACAACTTAGGAGACTTCCCTTTGGTCTTCCTGGGATTATACAACCACACCTTGTCTCCTGGTACAAAGCTGACTTCTGTAGATCTTTTATCATAAGATAACTTCATCGAATCAGCAGACGTTTTCAAGTTTGAATGCACTTGATGGTGAATATCATCAATCCTTTCCGATAACACTTTCACAAACTCTGACACATTCTCAGGCAACTCTTCATAAGGTGGGCGTCCTGTTAACAGATCCACTGGCAACCGATGTTCCCGACCAAACATCAACTTTGCTGGAGTGTATCCAGTGGCTTCATGCTCTACTGTTCTATAGGCCATAAACAGTGGAGGGAGAAAGACATCCCAGTCATCTTGGTGGCTATTACAAAACTCTGCCAATTCCTGTCCCAGTGTCCAGTTGTATTTTTGGCCATCCAGCTTTCCTGTCACATAGACACTATATGTACTTGCCATTTTACACTTAGCTGTTGGGACTTTCACAATGGGGGTTGGTGGGCATCCCTAAGCACCAACCACTACTGGTTTCCCGAAGCTGACTTATTGTTGGTATTCTTCTTACACTGGCTCCTCATATGTCCTTGCTCTCCACAGTCCTAACAACCTTTCTGGGTAGCAGCCTTTCCTGCCATGGCATCTTCCCTGTGTTGAAGTTTCCAGCATTGAGCTCTATTGTGCCCAGGTTTGTTACAGTGCCAGCAAAGTCCCTCAAACTTCTCTGAAAGCTGACCTTTACTGGCTTTGAATCCTGATGACTGTACCAACCTTGGTACCTCTGTGCTGGA